TATATATATAGAGCCAGTTTCACTAAAATATGTCATCTAGGTAGACAAGCACACTGACTGAAATGAGAAGGAAACTATTCATTTGTGTTAGCATCGGAGAGGCTAGTGATTAGCATTGATAAGCTGGTGTTTGCATTGGAAAGGCTAGTGATTAGCATGCCTAGGCTGCTCACCTACTTTATTAGATACAAACGTTTTTGAATAAAGAAATCTTTCCCAACAAAACGATAGACATACAAAACCGATAGGCGACATGCACTGACTGGTGTTCCTTAGACAGGATTTACTGTTCAACAGGATGTCAAGCATAAATATTAAAACATACTGTCTCTCTGATGCTAACACCAGCTTATCCTTGCTAGTCGCTAGCCCCTCTGATGCTAACGCAAACTAATAGCCTTCCCATTTGCCAGCACCGGCCTCTCAGTTACCAGGGCCAGTTGCTCAGTTACTGGGCCGGCCTATCATTAATCTCATCAACAGCTGGCTTAGCCTCCTGCTACAATGTAGCAACTGCTTGTTGCACAGTAGTCTTAATTTTGGCCCTCGTACCGCACTATATCCTTCAGCCTCTTCCACTGTCCTCACCTGCGTAAAGACTTAATGACCCGTCTCACCTGACTCTTCATCCCATCAATCTCAACACCCTCTTCATCACTGGTTCAGAGCTCAGCCTTTGTGTTACCTTCAGTGCCGCTGACCACCCACAGCTCCCTCGGAGAGCAAAGATGTTTCTCCTCAAATATCGAGAGCTCCTCACACCCAAATTACGCCCTGAGAAACTTTCACAAAGGAATTTACGACGGCGTCTCTAATCCAGGCCCTCCCACTCTAAGTGCCTGGCTTTAATCCCCGACGTTAACCTGGCTTTGCAGGTGCCGCAGACAAAATCACCACGAGCTGCTCAGAGAAGTGACAATCGTCCCCTCCGGTCCAGATTAGGAACAGGAGGAGAAACCAGATACTAAATCCTTTGTGGCATGTCCAAAAAGAAGGGGGCGAAATCCACCCCACCTTTTTGGACTTCACTTTCATCACTTGAACGTCCAGATCTGCCCGGCTCGAAAGCACTCACCCTGTTATCGGTGCACTGGCTGACTGGGATAAACCCGGCCTAATCCATCACTGCTACCATCTGCATGTTTGTGCAGGCAGGGTGGGTAAATACGGCTGTGTTGGTGGGCTTGGGTTACCTCTTGTTTTTTCCCTTTTCTTTAGGGTTTGGGAGGATGGCTGCGAGGGGTATTTTTTCACAAGCAATGAATCAGTCAGCAAATGTGTTTAGTTTGTTACCTCGTAAAGCAGCAGCAGGTCCTTTCAACATGCTTTGAGGCCCCTCCCCCCTCACCAAAAAGACGTTGATATCAGGACGAGTTCCAGCATCAAAACTCCCAGCATCGTCGTTGACTTTTATTACTTTTTACTATTTATTAAGTAGACACAAGGGTCGTTTTATTTGTGCGCCTCCTCTCCAAAAAATGCAGATTTTAGGCTATCAAACCCATCGGCAGCACCACCAGGGGGGTTTCACTTCAAAGGCCACAGCTGACTGAGCCGGGCAGACAAATTGTTTGAGCCCATGGGTTTGGAAATAATGAAATACTGCAGAGGGTGGGAGAGTATGGCGCTGCTACAACAAAAATGTCACATGGCCCGCGATCTCCCCCGGTCCATATTTCGAAGTGAAGCGTGCAAAGCGTCAGGGCTGCAGCCACCTGCGTTGGAAAAATGGGCCTGTGGGAAGAAAATAGTACGGCTCTGTTTCAGTCCAAAAAGTTTGAAGTGGTTCGTCTTTTTTTATTGTTTCCTCACTGATGCTGGTCCTAATCATATGGAGTATTTTATTTCTGAAGCACATTTGCAAAGAACTTTATTCGATCAAAGTGTTGCGCATAAAGAAAAACATAATAAAAGCAAGAAGAAAGTAACTTTCCTTGCAAGAATGATTATTGCTTGCAAAGGTTGAGGTGATTTTCACAGATCAGAGGCCAATGCTGAAATGACTTCTTAAACTTTGTTTTTGAAACTAGATCTAGCAGAGAGAAAAGGATGAAAATGGGACCGAAAATAGAGCCCTGAGGTGCACCTCAGCTAAACGTGGAGATGACTGAAGAATGTTTACCTGAACTGATAAAGAAGTTCTTTATCTGACATAAACTACTAATTTTCTATATATTTAATGCCAACAAATGAGTCAAGCAGATGTTATGACCTGATGTACTGAATGAAGGCTGCAGAGAGAACCAAAGTTTTAAAATGGTCACCCATTGCCTTAAGTTATAATGGCAATGGGTGAACATTTTTATTTTTATATTATTTATTTTTATTGTCTCTTATTGTCGTTTTTTTGTTGTTTTGTTTGCTATGTCTGAATAATAAAGTTTGATTGATTGATTGATTGATAAGTAAAACAAGAGTGAAATCTTGGAACCATTTGGTTGAGCCTTTTTTTGCTTGTTAAACCAACATACAGTGCAGTAACTTGAAATAATTCATGCTCAAATGCACTTACAACAGTTGTCCTCTTGTTTAATAAATTTGTATTCGAAACATTTGAACCAAACTGAAAATAAACTTACTTTAACGAGCTGAAGTGCAACGGCATAATATACCTTGAGTGCAGACTCCTGTGTGGTTGTGGTTCTGTTAAAATTTACTGCTGTTTGTTTTTAGTGGGGTGAGGGGGCGATCATTGGTAGGCCGGCCATGAGTAATACGTGGGCCGGATGTGGACCATGGGCCACCACTTGCCCATCCCTGTCCTAAATGTCTGTTTTCAAATATTTGCTAAATCTTTAGAAAGTAAAGAAGTCTTTACACAATTAGAAATTAACTCAGTCTTCATCTGATAACAAGAGATGACAATGGAACTTCAGTTTTTTGTTCAAACTTTCCTGCAGCGTATCGTTGGACAAAGAGGTCCGTCTGTCTGCGTTTCACTCTGTCTTTTGAGCTCCGCTGGCCACAAAAACAGGTTTTCATTGTGAAGCACAAAAGAAGTATTTAAACACTGGAGTGTATAATCAACATGTCAGACACAATAGAAGCTGTCTTGTTGTTTGCCCAGAAAGCAAAAAATAGCAATAATCTCTTGTACAGGACCTGAGGAGAGCGGCGGGGAGAGGTGGTCGTCATGTAAAACACATGCAGGCACCCTCCTGCGTCACCTTTATGCAGAGTGTTTGACTTGTTTTCGGGATAAATAGATCTGCTTCCGACGGAGACGAGAGGTCGGGCCTTGAGACAAAACCCCCCTTTGTGTTGAGACTCCTGAGAGACCGCGAGCGAAGACAATGAAGGTTTTCATGGACGAGCCACATTGTTACTTTGGGTTCCACTGAGGCTCATTCAGAAAGCAGATCCTGTGAGTTCCTCCCAGTCCACTCTGCAGCTATGGAAAAGTTTGCTGCTGCTGCTGAAGGGATGCATTTTTCTCCCTGCAGGCTCAAAAAAACACTTTCCCAGAGACAGATTTAAAACGCGAGCCCTAAAATATGACATTTAAGGGCAGTGACTGAGAGGTTTCCTGCATTCTGATAAACAAAAAATGTAGAGATTAAAAATCTAACATGCCTGAAAGAAATGCACATCACCTGTCTTTTAGGTTGAGAGATGACAAAGTTGAAGCTGTTTTTGTCTAACCTTGGAAATAACATTAAAGGAGACATATCCTGCTTTTAAGTCCTTCTTTTTCCACATTTAAATCATTCAGTTGAGGTCCACATAAAGTGGAACAGCAATGCCTTGGTCTGAATTCCTCTTTATTGTAAGGTTGTGAAGGTCTTGAGAGAGCTCTTTACTTTTACCCATCATCAGATGGTTCTTGTGTGATACCTGGCCATCATTTGGGACTGAACCAGCT